AATGGCGGCGACCACGATAGAAAGACATTATTGAAACAAATATATTTTGTTCACATAGTCGTTCCTTTTTAGAACCACTACATCACCAAACCTTCACAATAACAATTAAATAATTGCCAGATTGATATTTGATATATTTTTCAAGAAAACATTCTTAGATCTGTAATGTATATAAAAAAAACTCACTGAAGTTTTGCTGTTCAAAACTCTCCACTATTCCAATATTATTTCTAATAACGAAGCCTGTCATATGTTGCTTTGCAGCCGCCAAAAAAGAAGAAGAGTGGAAAGGGTAAGAAGGGGAAAGGTAAAAAGAAATCAGCTAAGTCCAAAACTCCAACAGTCATTGATGGAATCTCAACAGAAGAAATGAGCAAAGAACAGGTAAATACATGTTGTATAAGTACAGCCCTGCGTCCATGACTTGTGTGCCGGTGGTTAGAATCATACGGTCCTGCATACTGTCAGGTGTTTCATTCCAACTACAGCCTTCCACAGGGCTATAGAACTTAGTGCTATAGTGTAATCATCAAATCTAAGTCGTAGCAATTCTTTTCATTTCATTTAAAAGTTAAACTTCAGACACCTGGGTCAATCAATATATAGTAGATAATATTTGGTAATCTTAGTCCTATTAAAAAAGTAACTATTAAAAATAGCTAGGCATTGCTGGGGCAATAATTTGGAAAATGAAACTTCCGCTGCCGTCATGAATTTGAATATTTTGTAGTTGTAAACACTTACAAATGACAAATGAAAAAAACCACATATATGGATTTATAAATGTTTTATAATAAAAGCGATTCAGGTACACCAGGTTTCATGAAAGGGCAAATTTGTTTTAAGGACATTTATAGATATTTATGAAACATTTATTTTCGCACTGCATTCCAATTCGAAGAAGATGCTTTCATTGGCTGCAGAACCCATTCGTTAATGCCCATTACCCATGAGTCTTGCAGATTTAATGCTATGAACACAAAATATATATCCTATCAGATTTTGAATAAAAGTTTGAAATTACACTGATTAGTTTGCTGAAATAAATATAAAAGAATGCAAGTTCAAGTAGTACCATTATTTGTTTGGCACAGTATGAAAAAGTGAGTTAGTGTCTCAGGGAGGTTAATGGTTAACTGTT